CCATTGTCTTTCCTTTTTTTCTTTAGCTTCTTCGCATCCTTTCCTCTATCGCAGATCTTTCCCAAATCTTCAACTTTACCCTCTTGCATCAACTTGGCCTCCTCTTCTCTAAATATACTTGACGAAAAGGGTTTCGTATACCTTGTAGAGTTTTCGTAAGAATAATTGATTATTAGGATATCGGCAATTTTGACAAAGTTCGTTTCGCAGCCATATGGGGTTTCGTGGTACGCAATTTGAAATACTGATTTTACTAGAAATGGAGCATTTCATCGCGCTCCCTGCAATTCAGAACGAAGAATTTCAGAACTACGTTCAGCAAACCGTTCGACATTGGTAAGGTAGCGAATGCATGCAATGTTAATTAACGAGAGTTTGAGACGTTGTTGTAAGTGGCTGAGTGCATCTTAATTCGCACTATAAAATTACCTTTGAAGCAACAGTTTTTCATTTTCATTTTTATCACAATTAATGCACTGATGTAACATCAGCTATAATACCAGTTATCGATATTGCTGGGTGTAATCCAAGGACCGCGGACGAGGTATAGGAGTAGACTCGACCGCGGATGAGGCGATGTTTACGGTTGTGTGCATAGATGGCGCCGATGTTCACTTTTCCGCGAGTATTCGATTTCTTAAACCTTAACATTTTATTGAATTATGACCCACAGATGGTCACCACAAGTTGAGCCACCATCTAGCCTTCATAGATTCCTTTTTTGCATACTTTGTCAAGTCAAAATGCTTTCCTGCAAATTTTCCGTAGTTCCGTCCCGCTTTGTTTTGATACAAGTGTGACTCACGGGCGAAGCAAGCCTGGCCCAGGCCTGCCTGCAAGTGTGAACACATTTGGACGGTGCCGGGCGGCCTGGCACGCCGCGAGCACGGCGCGCGTAATGTAAACACTCCAATGTAAATCAAATGGTAGAATGATTCGGCCTTGGTCGGCCTTGGAGCACGACCTGAACCTAGCACGTATGTAGATGTGTCACAAACGTTAGCATCGCGACGTTGCTAGAACGATCGGCGGTCGTTAGACGTTGGTCGAACGAAACGAACAAATTGAAAAGAAGATTCGTAACGTTCGGCCAACGTACCGATAAAAGTACGCGCTCGCAGAGCACGAGGCAGAACTAAAATGTGTTTAAAATGCGGCCAAAAGGAAGATGAAAATTTATTTTATTCGTGGTTTGATAGATCACGCGCGGTTCAACAACAAAATGAAAATATAAAACAAAATGTGAATGTGAGTATTTGAAAATTTCATCTAAAATATATAATGGATGTGTTTATTAGTTGAGGATCAGTTTTGTAATTGATAGCAAACATCTCATAGTTTAAGCTGTTCAATAAACTATAAAAAATTATTTAAGTAAGAAGGAAGAACTATTGAAAAAGAAAAAGGTGTTCACAACGTCCTTAATTTAAAACACAGCATGAAACTAAAGGTAATAAATATATTACCTAATTGAATATTTATTAAAAGAATGTATTTATATATAGCTGAGATGTGCGAGGACTCGAAAATTTCGAGACAGGACCTTGGCAGTGTTACGGCTTAGCGTGCTTGCAGATCCAAGGATACGGCGCGTGATAGCGGTGGAAGAAGCGGATGGAAACGTGGCGACGTCTGGTGGGCGCCATCCAAATTAACGGCGCGAAATTCAAACAGACAAATGAATTTATACTAATTTGCGCTCTTATAATGAATAGAATAAATTAAGTTTACTTATAAAATATGTCTTATGTCTATACGCTCTTATATACCTATATGTTATCTTACCTTACAAAGTTAATATAACCTACGCAATACGACAACTTCACATAGCTGACGTAACAACAGATTCGAAATCGATAATTACATCGAGCTAATGGCTGTGAAACAGAACTGAGGAAAAATAGATTTTTTAAGTAGTAAATAAACTATAGGCAATTTTATCTTCTCATGTAATACAGAATTTAGCAAATAAACTTTTTTTGAAATAGTAATTATACGTATGGAAATAACATTTCAAATATATTTAACAACGTAATATCCGTATGTAATTAATATTTCAAAAAAAGTTTACTTACTAAATCCTATGCATATTACATGAGAAGATAAAAATATTTATAGTAAAAATGCGAATATTTATAGTTAAAATGCGAATAACGATGTAAAAATACCTCTACTTCGCAAATAAGGTTTTGATATTTATAAAATAATATTTTGCTATAATTATAAATATGATATCGGTTGTGCAATCTCTTCTGAATTTTCAGCTACAAGCTCAAAAATCTCGAATTTTACCAGATAGTATGTGCTAAATTGTTGCAAACGTAATTTCGATCTTTCAAATAGATAGCTTACAAAAAAAACCTACCTAGATAGCTTACAGTAACCTAATAATATATATTTCTTTGTAATGAGATGTATTTATTATACTACTATAAGTTCCACGCGTTCCTAGATCACATGATAAATGACATACTATCCAACGAGTCAGATTATAGCTAATTGCGCATAAGATCAGTGCAAAAGAATACATACTTTACTATTTGAACATCAGATAAACATTTACATGAATTGATACAATTGCTTTGATTAGAGGTAATATTACCTTTTTACGATTAATATGAAATGAAACATAATGACAATTTTAAATAATCAAAATTCTCGAATTAAAATGTAGAAAGATTCTTTACCGGTACCAGTCTTGAAATAAAACTTTCAACTTCATGTGATTATTAAATATTTAAATAACATGAAACGTATTTAAAAGAAAAATGGAGGCGTCGCTTCTGTCACTTAACAGTGACATCAGACAAACTACACCAACATTGTTGGACAAACTTTAAAGAAATTTTATTATACATACTTCTCCGAAACTCGAAAAAACTTGTAACAGTTTCAACGAGACACCTTGTATATGATTCGTGGCATATTAGACTCATTTACTTGTTGCTAGATGCATCAGAGATGCTTGCACACATGCACAATACATATGTGTAGTTACCACATAGTATGCATGCATGTGATATCCGACGTGCATCATCGCGCTATGTATATCTGAATGTGGTTAAGGATTTAATCGGCGCTATGAATCGCCGTTTTTAGTGGAATTACACAGGAATCTTTTGAAGGTACTGTTACAAACAATTCGTTTTCTTATTATATAATTGACGTTATTATTGACACAACAATGATGTCAAGCACAAAATAAAAAGCACGTAACGCCGCGGAACGTCGACGTTTTCATTTCGACACGCATCGATACAGAGCAAACAAAGTACAGTTACGTACAAGTAGAAATGAACAGTGCGGAATCGATAAAATAAGCAATAACTTGGTGCTGATTTATGTATACATTCTGTCTAACATCCGGGTAATTTAAAATCGTTCTTGCAGTGGTGGTGACCTCCCGTGGTAGATGGAATATTTGCAGTTGAACCCGGCGTAGTTTCGCGATTGTAACAACGATGAAACGGTCGTACCAAGAAATCATTGGTTAGCTGATACACTTTGTGACTCGTTCGGACCCGTCAGGACGCAAAGTGCAAAGTTACCCCGATGCTTCTGCGTGCTGGTCTGTTGTGTGACGTCGTATTGTCTTTTAATAGTCAGCCCCTGTGACCGGTTTTTCCGTAGTTAAAGAGGCCCCGTTGCACGTCGAGACGCGCCCTCGTCCGACCTTGAAACCTATAATCGTTCAGAGCGTTCGATGTTCGAAACATCGTCTGGAAAAACTGTGAATCGTGCTCCACAGGTTCGACTCGTTTTGTTTTCTTCGGCGCCTCGTTAACGCGGAGCAACAGTGAAATGGCGAAAAAGACGTACGATCTGTTGTTCAAGTTACTGCTCATCGGTGACTCCGGAGTCGGCAAAACCTGTATATTGTTCAGGTTTTCGGACGATGCCTTTTCCACAACATTCATTTCTACTATAGGTAAGAAAAATAATTATGGATTATTAACTAGCCGCTCGCAACAGAAGCGCAACTCGTGAACCGGATCATCCAACAGCGGAAATTTCTTTCGGCATAGTAGGTTATGCTGCCAAGATGAAATTGCAATATTCTATCAAAACAGAGTTCGATATAAATCACATAAAATTGTTTGTTTGTTTCATTGGTCAATGCTTACGATCAAAAAGGATTAATTGTCAAAAAATCAAGATTGTATTTTCAATCGGTTGATTAACTTGCGAGTTACCAGTTACTAATTGTAAATATCATTCGTTAATCGTCAATTTAATTAAAAAATATTGTAATTTAATCATGAACTGTCGATTTTTTATTCAAACATAATTTAAATTCAATAACAGTAGCCGATCACTCATTGTATTAAACATTACTCAATTCTATGAAAGTATATGAGAAATGCTACTTGAAAACTAATTATATAGTCTGCATTAAAGTTTATTGCTTTTTGAATGGCAAGTGAATGTGAAAAATGTAAACAGATATTATACGTTGTCCTTTTCTTTACTTAGGTATCGATTTTAAGATCAAGACAGTCGAGTTAAGAGGAAAGAAAATCAAATTACAAATATGGTAAGTTATAAAATATTAAATATATTTAAACATCATTTAATCCACTTATTTACAGGGATACAGCTGGTCAAGAAAGATTTCATACTATTACTACATCATACTATAGGGGTGCAATGGGTATTATGCTTGTTTATGATATTACTAATGAGAAAACGTTTGAAAATATTGTCAAATGGTTAAGAAATATTGATGAAGTAAGTATAATTGAAAATTTGAGTTTTGTACAAATAGAGAAAATAACTAGATTTTGTATTCTGCATTTTACCATTACAGCATGCGAATGAAGATGTAGAAAAAATGATATTAGGAAATAAAAGTGATATGGAGGAGAGACGCGTGGTCAGCACAGAAAGAGGAGAAGCGGTAAAATAATGAATACTTGCTAAATACAATGTCTCACAGATGAATGTTCAAAATGAATAAATTGATGTAACCTTACAGATAGCAAGAGAGCATGGTATCAGATTTATGGAAACATCTGCAAAGGCAGACATCAACATCGATCGTGCATTTAGTGAATTAGCAGAAGCAATATTGGAAAAAACACATGGAAAAGAACCCCAAGATGCTCCTGATAGAGTAACAGTCGATCGAAGAGTGGAAAGAAGTTCTAATCGGTGCTGCTAATTTTATATTATTTATTTTAATGGCGCATAATAAACTATATATCAGCTCGTGCCACTCAAAATAGATTTGTGGATAGATTTAGAGCATAATTTAAAGCATAATAGTATAATTAAACTCTTCACATCACTGCCTAAACAAATTCAATTCAACTTATTTGATAACTGTTGAGAGAAAACGTTTTACTCGTGGTATAAAAGGAACATCTCTCGTTTGAAAGGTGAAGTTTTTAACTAGATCTGGGTTTCAGAGGGTGGAACATAAATGCTGTTTGTCACTTATACAATTGTACTTATGGATATGTTTATTGCATGTATACAAACATTGAAGCTCTATCAGAGTTTTTATAAATAATATAAGAAATCGATAATAAGTACTGCTGATGGAGCTTTGTTTTCCATATGAAACTCCATGCATTGTTGCACGAACAAAGTTAACTAGGAACAATTTATTTGCTATGAGGCTGCAATTTGTTACCATATTGAGAAGAGTGAGAATGAATGTGGGCTTTTAAACTTAAAAAAATCTATGTGAACATTGAATGCTTTTTCATACCGACATTGCACTATATATGCTTATTTACATTTTAAGTTAAATCTGAAAGCTTAAGATCAAGAGCTTTTATCCTATTTGTGTAAGACTAATTTACTACAAATATAAAAATATTCACAATTTTCAAGCACTCGTCTCCTTATGTCCCACACAATAAGCGTATGTATAGTGATGTATAATTATGTAGGTAATATTGTCACTGCAGAATTTTTTGTGACAATGTATAATACATCAATACATCCAATAGTAACCATTGGAAAAATTACATAAAATCGTAGATATTCAATGACTGTTTTAAATATTCATAAGAGAAAAATATAAATATCCACTTACACTTTGGAATTTCTTTATTTAAATATTATCAATGGCATTGCCTATTTTGAAATATACATTACATGTAAATACATGTTTAGTTTACATTTATAGTTGTTTACACTTATACATGTGTCACTATTGCGAATATAAACATTGAAACATATCATGTAAATCAATCATGTGCTGGATATGAAGAACTTCCTTGTGTAACAAGACCGTACAAAAAGATATATTTATATCCC